GTGTGTGTGTGTGTGTGTGTGTGTGTGTGTGTGGTACCAGGGATCAAACTCTATCTCCCCGACCCCTGTGTCACTTCTATAGGCACCTAAGGTTTGATTATGAATGTGTCTGAAAATATCATGATGCCTGTTTTCCTGAGAAGAAACATACATATCAACGCTAAAAGGCTTTTCTATTAGCATTATGAATATATGTTATATAGACAGCCACATGTTAAAGGACTGTTTCCAGGATGTTTCAAAATTGTGATGTGTTCATCATAACCACTAATTCTCAGCTGGTGCTAGAACGATTAGGGATTCCTTCTGTAATTATTTTGAGAGGAAAGAACACTACATGTCACCTGGGCTCAGCATTCCAAACGTGTTTGTTGTTCTTAAGCAATAGGTGTTACTGATCATGTGCTTGGTTTGCTGTTAGCAAAATATGCCTTGAGTTGAGGAGTAAAGTGAGAATTTATATTTGACTTTATAATATTCTTTGAGTAAGAATTATAAAAAAATATTTTTTAAATCTATTTCAGCTCTTTGGCTGGCTTTTTCGTAGATTTCGTTTTGAGAGTGTTATCTTTGGCCTTCTAACAGTGATGTCAATACAAGGTTGTGCAAACCTACATAATCAGTGGAGCATAAAAGGAGAGTTCACTAATTTGCCTCAGGAAGAACTTCTCCAATGGATCAAATACAATACCAGACAAGGTATGCAGCTGTTTCATTATGCATGGCCTCACTTTTATGTATACATTCATGTAGTGCTAACTATTTAGCATTCTATACGTGTGTGTGCATTTGTGTGTGTGTGTGTGTATGTGGGTGTGGGTGTGGTTAGATTTACAGGAGTTAACTGACAATTTCTTGACTTTATGGGGCGGTGAAACAATACACATTAAGTGCAAATTGGGCTTCAAATTTGAATTGCGATATTTCCTAGGCTGGGCCTAACAGTTCGCTGTGATACTGCGCTGCCAGTATTTCTCAGATACCATATTTGGTGTTTTCCTTCAAAGTTATCCATGAGAATACCTAGTGATGCTTAAATATAAACACTCCGTTGTTTTGGTAGACCTGAACAGCATGCATTGTTTTTATTGCTGATTTTATTGTGCTGATTAAAATATGATCCTATCTTTCCTAATCTCACGAAGATTTATCATACAAAATGTCAGAAAGTAGGCGTGTGGTCTTTGGTTCTTTCAATAAACAAAACTGAAAGTGAAGCGGGTAGATGTTGATATATTCCTGGTTATGAAACATACATACATGCCGCCCAGAAAGCATCACTGATAAGCAATGAGCTGGCTTAGTGAGGTGTATAAAGGAGCTAGGCTCAGACAGCAACTAGGAGAACACAGTGATGAATATTTTCAGACCACCTGAAGAGAGACCGCAGTGTTCTCCTGGGACACATCCACGAGCCCGCAGGCTTCGCAGCACCCAGCGTGATTTGAGAAAACGCACCGAGAGACTTACCTTTCTCAGCAGTCACTCATTTCCTGGCATTTAAATCCTCCACAGGATTTGAAATACTCCCTTCTCTCCATTCACCTGTGTCGCCCACCCGTGACAGGAAGCCGCCATCCAGAGGCCAAGGGCTGAGCGGTGCGTCCTTTTTCTGTGCAGTCTGGACGACTCTCCTCACTCCGCTGTCTTTTTCTTCACCTACCAGTGAGGGAAGTGCAGCCCTCCCCGCAGAGGTGTGCAGGTGGAAGCACTCAATCTTTAGGAAACGCTGAGCACAGTCCCGAGAGTCAGGAAACAAAAGTGAGCTAGCAGACTAACAGTAGAGTAAGTGCTGAGTGAATTAAAAACAATAATGTCAATGGTTTTTATTGTTTCCTGGGAAGTGAACTCAGGGCTCTGTATATGCAACACACACACTCTGCCACTGACCTTCACCCCAAGTGTCCGTGCTTATTACTGAAGTATGCTTCATCTTTCTTATGCTGAAGGTTTGAATTCAAATAAGATGGGTAAGTTTAACTTTTGGTTTTCTTGTTTTTCAGATGCTGTTTTTGCAGGCACCATGCAGACGATGGCGAGCATCAAGCTGTCCACGCGGCACCCCATTGTGAACCACCCGCACTACGAGGACGCAGACTTGAGGTTGGCCCGCGCTGGCTGTGCGCTCTCACTCATGCTCGGCCTGCTGCTTCTTAGGACTTGGGGGGGGGGTGTTACACATACGCATGCGCACACGCATGCATATATATATATATATACATACATGTAGGCATGCAGGCACGCACGCATACATGTGCTCTCATCCTCATATTCATCTGTGAGGTCTGAAAAACATCTATAGTAAGCACTCAAGTGATGGTGTAAGCGTCTTCCTTCTGAAGTGGGTTTAATAAGCCTCACATGAGTGAGCAAAGGGAAACTTAACTTTTACAAAACGAAAACTATGGCTCACATGTGGCCTGACAAATAGAGGCAGAGACGGGGGAGGGGGGGGACTAGTTCAGGAAAATCCCTCAGTAGCAGTGGGAGGAGGCCGGATGACTCTCAGTCTTTGCTGTCAACTCCACAAGGCCCTTATTCTGATGGAAGAAACATCTAGATTCTACTGGTACCCAGTGGCTTTTTTTAAGGCAGGAAAATAAAGCTTATGAAAGCTGCCATATTGCATGCTTTGATAAACGCTTAGGTACCAGCTGAATGTGAAAGCTGTAGTTTACACTGAGGGTCAAAAGTTTTTTATTTTTTTATTTATTTAATTTATTTGTGTGTGTGTGTGTGTGTGTGTCTGCTTTTTACAACTAATTTTGATCATTCTGTGAATTGTCCAGGAAGTCTTTTCTTCCCTAGGTCTATTGTTAAAGGCAAATTTTTAGCATTTTATATTGGGCTGTGTGCATCCCACGTTGCTCCAAATCCTAAGTAACATGTAATGTACGAGGCATCATTTACTGACGATTCCATAAGAATTCCAGCTTAAGATCACACCGTTTTCTGTACCATACATAGCTTAGCGAGCACCTGAGATTCTGAAAGGCGTTTTTCCTTTATTATGTACATACTTATTTTAACTATTCTTTTCAGTGCTGGGGATTGAACTCAGGGCCTTTTATTGCTAGGGAAGTGTCTCCCCCTGAGCCACCTGTCCAGCACTCTGATGGGCTTTTCTTTAACCTGCCTCAACACCCTAGATGCTCACTGTGTACATGTTGTATTTCCTTTATTCAACTTGAACCAACTATTTTTCTAAATTTCTATGGACAAAATTCTCTACAAAAAAATCCATGTTTCACTATATTTAATCTCTATTAGAATGAATTCTGTGTGCAGATTAATTACTATGTGGATTATGTGATGCCAAATTTATATCCTTTATACATTTATTCTGCTACCTAGTACGACCTTGGATGCAAATGTATGCTAAGAAGCAGAATATGCAAAATTCAAACTGCTATAAGTTTTTCATTTTCAAAATTGAAGGAGGAATGTGGAAAGGGCTGTTTCAATGGTAAATCATATTATTTTCAGGTATCTTAATATTCCACCCCGTAAGGGTTGCAATTTCAAGATGCTAGCAAGTTGACTTTGGTCCAGGATCATTTAATTCAAAATTCTACTTGTAATTATTACCATTTCAATTTAAAGGGCCCGAACAAAAATAGTCTATTCAGTGTATAGTCGAAAATCTGCAAAAGAAGTAAGAAATCAATTGCTGGCATTGCATGTGAACTATTATGTTTTAGAAGAAGCATGGTGTATTTGGAGAACCAGGTAAGTGTTAACACTATGCTTTCTCATGTGTCTAAAGCAACAAGTGTTTTTCTCTATAACAGTAGTCCATGGACCAGCAAGATAGCTCAGAGGACTAAGTGCCAGCTTAGGCAAGTGCAGGGACCAGGGTTCAATCCCGGCACCACATGTTGTGCTGGCCCCGCCCTGAGTGCACTAAGCAGGCCACCAAGCCAGGGTGTGGTGGTGCATACCTGTAATCCTGGCCCTGGGGAGGCTGCAACAGGAGGATCATTAGGAGTCTGGGCTGCATAGTGAGACCCTGTACTAAATACACTAAAAAAAAATAGTCCTGAGTTTTGAAGACCCTCTTTGCAATGAATTTCATTAACTATTAACCTGTTATATTAGCTAAAAAAGATAGGCAACTTAGATAAGTAAGTGTAGGCTGTCATTTAAGTGGAATATAATTCACAAATACATTTTTCATGCTAGAGTTAACAGATAGCATTAGACCAGTTAAATTAACTGCATTCCATATGGCCAAAAAGATGAAACATGGAAAACATTTTAAAGAGTCATATTGTTCATGTAATTATGAAAAATCTGAGATGCAACATATGCTGGGTAAATTTGACAGGACTGGGGATATAGCTCTGTGGCACAGTGCCTGCCTGGAAAGTGCAAGGTCCTGAGTTTGATTCCTCGTAACAAAACAAACAAACAAAAAGTAATAACAGATGCTAATGACAGATAAAACACAAAAGAAGGAAACATTGGTAAACTTGAAGATGAAGTAGTAGCAGGTGTACAGCCTCTCAGCAATCTGTGGGGCAGCTTCAACGTAGTGCACCTCTAACAGAGAAGCCACCATACCATGAGGAGAGGTGAATATCTGAAATTGCAATGGTGTGATTTTCCCCAAAGTCCAGAAAAGCTATCAACTCGTAGATCTAAAAGTGGTCAGAGACAAGAAATATATAAAAAAAACTATACCAAGGAACATAATAGTTTTCTCAAAGCAGTGATCAAATGAAAAATCCTCAAAGCAACTAAACAGCAGTGTGTGGAAAGTGGAAAGGGTAGGGAGTTGCCAGCACATATTGTCAGTGAAACAATGGAAAAAGGACAGTGAACTGTCTTTAAAATCTCAACTAAAATAAGCTGCCTGTAATTTTGTATGTAATTGAAGTGTATCTTAAAGATGAAGGGCTGGCCAAATAGCTCAGAGGATTAAAGTGCCTTCAAGCAGGCCCAGGGGCCAGGGGTTCAATCCCTGGGCCTGTCATGCCAGCCCCGCCCCTAGGGCACACTGAGATAGTGATTGAGACTGGGCGTGGTAGCACATGCCTGCAATCCCAGCTCTTGGGAGGCTGTAAACAGTCAGATCACTGTGAGTGTGATCTAGTAGTGAGACCCTGAACACCCTATAGACCCTTCCCTAAAATACGAAAAAAAGAGATGAACATGAAATAGATTTTTCTTAGCGTACTAGTGCTGAAAAAGTTCTCCCAGTGACTGGCACTACAAGAGACATAAGCCGAAGTCTTTTAGGCAGAAAGAAAGTGACAGGGAGGAAACATGGACAAACATGAAAGCATGGATAGCGTTAGAACACAGGCCAGTATTAGAAGGGGTTTTCTTTGCATAAATATTAAGAAAGATAATAATCTGATTAAGGGAAGGTAAATTTATTTGGCATTTATAGCATGTTTAACTAAAACATATTGCAACAATAGCCTGTGTCTGGGAAGGGAGGAAATTGAAGTGCATAATTGTAAGAGTTTTATATGCCATAGATGTAGATGCTTCTCCACCTACTACGTGTTAGATCCTGATAAATCTAATCATGAGTGGACAAGGTAGGCCAAAAGTCCATGCGATACACCTATACTACCACCCATCATAGCTTAATGTAGACTACCTTGAACATGCTGAGAACACATACATTAGCCTACACCTGGTTAAATCATTTAACATAAAACCTATTATAAAATGTTGAATATCTCCTATACATGCTCAGATGGGTCTTTTGTCAAGGTGATACGATGTAAGAAGGTGAAACACTGTATGTAAAATGGTGCGGGCAACTCTGTCCAGATGCTCTTCCACCTAAGATGGGGTCATCTTCCTCCAAAGCCCACGGAAGGTGGAAACTATCCCAGGTGGAGAAATCATTTAACACAGTAGACCTACTGAATATCAGAGCTTAGCCACACAGTACATGGTATGAGATCCATTATTTCATCCTTCAGCAACAAGCAGAATCCCATTCTTGTTGCCCATAAACATTGTATTGGTTGATGTCATCAAAAGAGTAAAGCAAGGAAAAGAAATGAAAGGTATACCATGTAGGAAGAGGTGAAGCTGTCTCTTCAGCTACAACTTACTCTATAGGTTATTGGGTGAAAGTGCCAGAAACAACATATTAGGGATCATAGATAACTTTAGCAAGAATACAGAATATAAGATCAATTCTAATTCTAATTAGCAATAACTTTTAATTAAAATTTTAACTAAAACTTATAATCATACGAAAATATTAAATGTGTGATGTATAATACCTGCACATTAAAAATGACAAAACAATATTGAGAGAAATCTACCTAAATAGGTGGAGAGATGTGCCGGGATAATGGGTTGGAATAGAGAGCACTAAGCTGTCAGTTCTCTCTAGGCTGATCTGCGGGTCTAATTCAATTGCAAGCAGTATCCCAGCAGGAATGAAACTTGAAAAGCTGGTTTCTAGCTCCCTGCAAAGCACAAAGGATGTAGAAGAACCAAAAACAAGGAAAGAGAAGAACAGTTTTCTAGGGCTAATGTTCTCTGATTTCCAAACTCATTGAACAGCTACAATAATGAGACAGCAGTGTTTTTGGAGTCAGGGACAGAGGAATGCCTGAAGTGAGGGCATCCAGAAAAAAACAGTGCTCATAATGACAGGAGATTTTTGACAAAGGTTTACAAATATTTCTGTGAAAAAATGAGTCTTTTCAAAAAATAGCGCTTAAACAACTTTTTAAGGAAAAAAACTTCAATGGACACTGCCCAGCATATAAAATAACCAAGGGTGGATCATAGAGCTGTCGATCTGAAAATATAAAAGTTCTAGAAGAAAACATGAAGGTTATCATGAGCTTATGTTAGGGAAAGGTTTCTAGGGTCTAATACCATAAGTAGAACCCACGGACAAGAAGTGATCAAACTATAAACTTCTGATCTTTTATGAGTAAACAGTGTATAAACACTATTATGAGCAATTTAAAAATCAGCTATAGTTGGCAGAAAATATTTCCTAAGCCTGTGTCTGATAAAGAAATGTAGATGTCTAAAGAATTCTCAAAACTTAGAAATAATCTAATTAAATTAAAATGAGAATGAAATACTGCTCAATACCTAATACATTTACTAAAAACTAAGATCCCACAAGAGTTGCAGACACTGTGGAAACCTGCAGTTCTCACACATGCTTATGTGACTATAGCATAGTGCAATCACTTTGCAAGACAGTTTAGCAGCTTCCTAAGAAATCAAACATACACCTACTATGTGCATTTATACAGGATCAAAGAAAGCATACATCGTACTAACAATTGGCTCACAGTAGCTCAGTTTTGCAATAGCCAAAATTCTGGAAGGAACCCAAATACCTATGACAGGGTGGTTGGGTAAACACATTATTGGGATATGTCAACAATTCAATACTGCTCATCAACAAAAGAGAATGAACTCTTGATAGAACAGTATGAGTATATACCAAAATAAGTATTTTGATGAAAAGGATCAAGACAGAATAGAAAGCAAGCCACAGCCCCAGAATGTACATCCTAATCTGTAGTACCAAGAAGTGGGTATGTATTTCACCAGGCAGGTGAACAGCATGAGAACAGACAGATTTTTAAAAGGTATGAGTGAGGGGCTTTGCAGGGTAGCTGAGTTGTTTAAAGTGCTGCTTGGGTAAATGCAGGCAGGCGCGTAGGACCGTGGTTTGATTCCTCGTTCCAGAAGCTGTGCCAGACCTGCCCTTGAAGCAGCCTGAAGCAGAAAAAAACAAAACAAAACAAATTTCTCAAAATTTTAGGGGGCGTGCTGGTTAGCTCAGTTGTTTAAGCACCTGCTTATGCAACCACAGTTAGGCTCAGGATACTGTGGTTCAGTCCCCAGATCCTCATGCCTTACCAGACCTGCCCTTAAGACATCCTGAGCCAGCCAACAAAATCCTTCTCAAAAAAGTATGAGTGAAATTGTGGGACAGATGGATACATTTATTATTTTTTACCATAATTTCACAGGTACATTGATAAAATGTGTCAAAATTATAAACTAAATATGTGCCATAGATTGAGTCATTTTGTCATTTTTATGTCATTTAGTTTGCATAAAGACCAGGCTTTCTATCCAGAATCTTTGAAAAGGTCTTATACATCAGCCACGTGAGATGCAACAGAAAATTGGCCAAAATATTTGAGCAGACATTCTACCGAAGAAGATATTTTTGAATGAGGACTAACAATAGAATGAGTAAAATTATGAAGACCAAAAATGTCTAGTGTTTGTAAGAATGTAAAACAACTTGGATCCACTTTGGAAAACAATGGTGAAGTTGCTTATGAAGTTACACTTACCATACAGCTCCACAGTTGTACCACCAGGCAGCTAGCGCACATGCACACAGATCCTTGTTCATGAGTGTTCATACCAACCTCCAGCATCATCACCAGAAACTCAGAATACTTCAAATGACCATTACTTTGCAAATGAATCACCAAAATAACAGCATCTCTGTAGAGCAAAATATTATTTAGCAACAGAAATGAACCATAGGAGCCACAACAATAAAAATATGCTCAGGTAAAGAAGTAGGAAATAAAGTCTACCTAATGCATGTGTATGGAATGTGGGATTCTGTAGAGCAGAGACTGTGCTGGCCCGAGGCTGCCTTAGGGGAAGGAAACTGTAGAAGGATGCAGGGGAACCTATTGAGAATGGAAATCTTCTGTATCATGACTAGGGTGGTGCTTACACATCTATGCACACTTGGTTGTGCTGAAACTTTACCATAAGGTTGAACAAAACACACTCGGCCTAGCAACTTCCTTTCCATTCTGTGAAGTATATTTCCCTACTAATTGAAGGCAATTTATGCTCAAAATTAGGACAGGAATTCTCCTAGTTTTCTTTTGTTTTGCAAAACCAGGGATTGAGCTCAGGCCCTTGTGATTGCCCGGCGAGCACTTATTCTACTGAGCTATCTCCCTGGCCACTACTAATTTTCCTTTAATCATCTCATTCTACAGCTGCATGGTCTGCATGCACCCTTATGTCTGAATGGTGATAATAGTTAGGAAATGTATTTGTTTCACTTAAAAATAAACTTCTAAGTACATATTTCGCAAGCTTTATTACTAGGATATGTCACAGGATTCAGTGAAGTGGAATCTAGAAAGGCAACGGATTTCATTTTTATTATTTCTAAATGCTAAACTTGTGTTTCTTTTTTAAATGATGCCTTGAAATCTTTGTTATATAAGTTAACCTCTGGAAGTCTTAGGGAAACTTTATAATTTATGTTCTTTGTCTGTGTAGGAATCCATTTTTATGTGGATATTTTCATGCCCTTTCTTTTCAGGCCAGGTTGCAGTATGCTGGAAATCTGGGACCTGGAAGACCCTTCTAACTCAGCCAACCCCTCCCTCTGCAGCACCCTGCTCAGGGATGCCAGCCCTTACTTCACCACTGTTTTTCGGAACGCTTTATATAGAGTACTGAAGGTTAACTGAGAAAGAGACTGCATCAGCCTCTTGTGATGGAATGGCGACATCAAAGACACACACTTAACATTCACCAAAATCACAAGCTTAGAGTGGCTTACAATAAGAGATGAACAATGGCTTAAAGGTTTTCTGACTACTAAAAGCAAATTGTTTTCCGTTGAATGTCAGCCTTGTTAAACTTGTCACATATGTAATTTTACTTATCTTCAGGTAAGATTTTTTGTGATTTCTAATTTTAAAAATCTTTTCTAGTCAAAAGTGTTTTTTGAAGATCCCTAGAAGTGTGCTAACCCAAACAGTTAAGTATTTCCTCCTGATTAGTTCCCCACCTAAGTTCAACAGGTCTTTAGAACCCAGTGCTTTTACTGTTAATATCCAGGTAAAATGAAAATTGTTATGGTATGCAACCAAATTCGTGGTTAAACATAATCAGAAAGGCCCATCGAATTAGATTTATCAGATGAGATTATCAGATGCTAAATCCTGAGTGAAGCAAAGGCCTTTCCATGTCAGTGGCCCTATGACATTTTAGTCATAAGCTTTGCTTCCAGCCAACATCTTCTGTCATCCACAGATATAAGTCTTCATTTCTGTTTGGTTTTCTGTGACGAAGGTCATGATTTATAAACCTTTCCCCCCAATAAAAAACCTTCCCAACAATAATGCTTTGAAAAATAATGGTAAATAAGCTGTTGTCTTGCAGATGTAACAGCCAAATACAGAGTACAGCTTAACTCTTTTTCTCTGCCTGGTCAATATAAATATGCTGACTGTTTAATACGCTGATATGCATCAACCCAAAATCAATCATTTTGAAGTTTGTCTAGTTATGTCTCTTACATTCTTGGCCCTCTAGACTAGGAATAACAACATGCTTTCATGTCACAGGTAGCTCATTCATAGTAGACCAGCAATCATACACAACAAAGAACAGTAAAATTATTTTTTCAACCCTTGCAGTTGTAAAATATTTTAACATAGGATGTAAAACAGCTAGGAAGGAATGCCACATTTAGTTTATTTTAGCATTTTCCAATAATGTTTTTGCTGTAAATGTGGAGCGAAGAAGAAAGACCTAACACCTACCATTTGTAAAATTAGAGAAACACATTTTGGATAATGTTTTCATGAGAATGTTTTAAAGAAGTTGGCAGAATTCAATAAAAAATGAGCTATATTAATTAAGAAACTGTTACATACACACATTTTGGTTTCATATGGATTTTTGTTATTGTACCGTGATTATTAAATATAAATACCCTTTAAAATGCTTTTTTTTAGTTCATCATTTCACAAGCACATATTTGACTTCGAGATAGCTCAGCGAAGAAGGGGGAAGTCATAGGCTGCTAGACTATTGCCCAGTTGAAGGGCCAGTTCTGCGTAGTCTCACGTGGGAGGCAGTGAACGGTGATGGGAGTAGTCCGAGCTCTGAGCTCTGCGCTCTGCAACAAGAGGGAGCAGGTCTAAATCCTGGATCTGACATAGTCGTGATATGTCCTGCCATCTGTTCGGATGGTCCTTATTCAGTGTTCACTGTACGCCATGTGCTGTGCAAAGCTCATAGTCATGGTGCTTACCTCCGTGAGCTTCAGTTTCCTCTCCTGTAAATTAAAACTCACACTGTCTATCTGTCAGTCATTATGCAGATTAGTGAAATACTGTGTCGGGGGCTAGGCATGTACAGGTGCTCAGCAAGTATCAGTTCCTTCTACTCCTCTTCCCCTGACCCACTAAATAACTACTGAGGCAGTAGTATCAGATTACAGGGTGAGATCAGATCGTCTCAGAATTCTGAGTGGTCTAGAGTTTATTTGGTGTCAGTACTGCACATCAGCTTTCTCCTGCACATTGAGCTATTTAATTCCTATAATTCTTTTTTCTTTTGACTTATGAAGACGAGGCATGAATGTGTGGGTTTTGGTGGTTTTCCCCACGCACGGGAATGTCCCCCTTAGACTGCTGTGCTCTTGCACACTCATCTGAAAGCAAAGCTGGGAGTGAGCTGCACACAGTCCGCAGCCTTCCCGCACCCCTCTGCCGGGACTCAACACCACCCTCAACCAGAAGCTGAGTACTTCTAATTTTAATTCTAAGTTTAAAGTTATATGTTTACATTGTCTGTCTCTCTGTTATATAAGCAGTGTGAACTTGTGACTGACAGCGGGTTTTGACAAAATGAGAAATTTGAAAGAAGAGGAAAATACTCAATAGACTCTCTTAGCATCTCATTCACTGGAGCTGGAGCCACGCAGGTGGTGGGCAGAGGGGAGAGGCTGGCATCCTGCAGGAGAATCCCCTTAACTTTGGTGACCTGCTACAGGTATTGGAGAGATGGCCAAAGAGAGGCTCAGATGCCCACCAGTGCCAAGGACCAAGTCCAGTCTTAGGTGTGGAAAGCCAGCTTCTGAATTTTGACTTTGTGATCTTGAGGTGACTGAGGACGAGGGCTACCAGACAACTGTCTGGAGGAAATGTGTCAAAGGTCATACAAACCAGAGGACAGTGACTCTGCTCTTAAGTAGTATACAAGGGACCAATCAGAAAGCAGTATTTTTAGTGTGGGGCTGTTGGCAGGACCAATCAGAAAAGTTCTATTTTCAGTCCTACGCCTGGTGGGAAACTGAGCAAGTCTTTCCATAGGGCAGTTTAAATCTGGCACCAGACAAAGTGAGTTTTTGATTGGACAACGGGCCAATGCCTTACGCACATATGGGGGAAACCATTCCAGGAACTTTGAATATAAAAGGGTCCTTTCCCTTGTCCTTGGGCCACTGTGAGTCTGTTCACCAGCCCACTCACTGAAGGTCCTACATTGCATTTGTTTTTTGTCCCGACAATGCTAATTTATGCCACTTTCCTTGGAGCACTGACTCCAGGAGGAGCCACTGACAAATGAAGATGACCATATCACTGTTCTCTTCAAAGTCTATAGCTTCAGGCTCACTTGAACCAATTCCTACCCCCTGTTCAGAAAGTGTAGCTATTTCTGCACTTTACAAATGTGCAGCACCAGACAGGAAAGGGTCACCTCACCCAGAGCTTTGTAGAACTGATGCCACAGGCAGGGCCCTGAGCAGGGTCCCCTGGGGACTCAGACCTCTCAGCACCTTCCTTCTCCATCCACCTGGGCTGCCCTGACAAGCGGTGCTGGTGTAGCCGGTGGGGCTTTACTTTCTCAAGCTTGCTCTGTTTCTGTGTTCTATCAAATGTGGTTGATTCTTGGAAGTGTCTCAAAGTCAAACCGGCCCCTACTGGTTGGGGCAGTACAGGGGTGGTGATGAAGATATTAGATGGGAAATCGAGAGCAGTTAAACCACATCCAACCTG